AGGTGTCGGTGCCCCGAGGGACAGTGGAGAGCGTGTTACCGATCTGGGAACGAGTTTAGAACGAGCTGTGGAGACAAATAAGGTGCTGAATAACGCTACCTTTCGGACAGTCGTCTCAATTGTCTTGACGGACTTGGTGGTGGCATCGCGGACGTCGTCGGCGGCACTATCTGTCGCAATTGGAGCTCCGTACTATACGTACAAACACCAGGTCAGAGAGTGTCAACCGAAGTGATGGCTATTTGTTTACCAGGCCGAAAGCGATGTTTTGCATCGCGATTGAAAGTGAGTCGGTGCGCGAGGAGAGTGTGGAGATGAAGCCCGTGAGCTGTGGCGACAGTCAGAATACGCTGAACACGCGGATGACGCGGAGAACCCACTTGACTCAGCCCTCCTGCAACGTTGGCGACAAGGGTCTGCACGGCGTTCAGCTGGGCGATTATGGCGTCAATCCTGGGCTTGAGTCCCTCCACCAGCGCTAAAGCGCGGTTCGCGTCGGTGGGGAGCACGATGGCAGAGCTCAGCACGCTGGTCGGGAGGATGTCCGAGGCGCTGAGGCTCAGGACGCCGCTAGGAAGACCAAGCGGGTCCCGCACACGGCTGGTCGCCCCATCCACGAATGAGTCCACGGCCGCCGAAGCGGAGCTCACGACGCTCAACACAATATTCACGGCCGGTGAAGCCGTCGGGAGCACGTTCGCAACGAGACTGCTCGCCCCGCTCACGAGCGGGTCCGCAATCCCCGAAGCGATGCCGAATGAGCCGGACAGGATGCTCCCGGATGGCGAAGGTGTCGGGAGAACAACGGGTGGGTCGGCGAAGTTGAGGACGGGCGAAGCAGTCGGGCATTGGAAGATGGTGCGGGTACGGGTGACTGTAGCAGTTGCGGTAACGGTGACGTCGAGAAGTGGCGAGGCGTTAGCGAGGAGGGGCGCGCTACCGACGATGGCGATGGCGAGGGAGATGAAGGTAGTGGACAACATTGCGTAGGAGATGAGTTCGTGAAGAGGGTCGTAGAAGGTGAGTTGTCGTGAGAGAGAAGTCGGGTTGACTGGCTTAATAGGCAGAATCGGTCTGGTTTTTATAGCCTTCGAGGATAGGGTGGTGAGACAAGGTTCCCGAGATTCCCGAGGCAAGTGAATCATCCGCCGAGTGTGAGACACAGATTCCGCGCGGGTGCCGCGTCAGACACCAGTCCGTTGAGTTCCGCGTGAATCATCGCGGTCCGCCTTCAGTTTTTACAGCAGCGTATCGGCGCAGCGCCTAGGTTGAGACAACTTGGATTTGTCTGTCGAATTTGCTGGCCGTTGTTTTTCTTTGGAATACGGGTCGAAGTGGGCGATTATAGAGACAAAGTCAAGAGGATATGCAGGAGCGATGAACGGTGACGTCGAGAAGTGGCGAGGCGTTAGCGAGGAGGGGGGTGCCGACGATGGCGATGGCGAGGGAGATGTAGGTGGAGGACAACATTTTTTGGTGAGTTCGTGAGGAGGGTCGTAGAACGTGAGTTGTCGTGAGAGAGAGAAGTCGAGTTGACTGAGTGAATAGGCAGAGTCGGCCTGGCTTTTATAGCCTTTAGGGATAGGGTGGTGAGACAAGGTTCCCGAGATTCCCGAGGCAAGTGAATCATCCGCTGGGTTTGAGACACAGATTCCGCGCGGGTGCCGCTTGAGACATCGGGCCGTCGAGTTCCACCTGGATCGTCGCGGTCTGCGTTGAGTGTTCTCTGAGTGAGTGGAGTACGGGCGACCGCCTGGGTTCAGCCAGCTTGCGTGGTCCAATAATTTTTCCTTGCCGTTTTGTTTCTTTAGAAGGACTATGGGTCGAAGCGGGCGATTATAGAGAGGGAGGATGATGCAAGAGTGAAGAAGCGCCCGCCACGTGTCGAGTGATCCCATCAAACATATCTCGCCCAATCGGGAAATTAGCGCCTGTCCGCATTCGGCGTCTGCATTCGAAGCCCTTCGACACAAAAACGGCGAGTATCTAGGCACAAACGAGGCTCAATGCGCCCCGTGATGGCCCGCCCGAAATTTCCTCCGGGGTAGTAAAATATGTCGCAAATATTGGGGCATGACATAGGCTCCTGGATCTTAGGCCCAGGTCGAGGGATATCGGCTGGAGTACATGAGCTCCTGAAGTGCGGGCGGTGCACATCCCATGTCCGAGAACTCTTAGTTTTTGATGCTCGGGCTGTGTATTTCTGAGGATGGTGCGAGCCTTGAAGTGGTGTACGAAGTAATGTAAGCAATAATTTTAGGTTTCGACACAAGAAGGAAGATTATCTCTGCGACCGGGTTAGCGGACGGCGGCGGTGTGATGCGGTTGCCCCGCCTCCCCCGCGCGACACCTCCACCCCGGTCTAGGACTGGAACGATGGAGTCAGGCGGGCTGGCAAACAACCCTGACACGAAGCTGCGTCACGAAAGGTCCGGGATCCGGAGCAAATCAGACGAAGTCAGACCCCGCGCTGCGGCTCCGACTGTGGCGCCAAAGAAGGCGATGGGTGGAGCCACTTCTTCAAGCTGCTTGGCTCATAATATGGGGGGCGACGGCAATAAAGTGCATGAATGTAATTGTTCTTTGATTCATAATATATTACAAGGGTACAGTGACTCGGGGCGCCTAGATACGCACACCGACGGCGGTGCAGGGGTGCGGTGGTCTGTGCGCGGGAAATCGGGGTGGGGGTCCAGGGCAACACAGTATGGTATCAATCAGCCCACCCCGAAATTCCCTCCCTCACACCCCAAATCCGTACAGCGCATGGCCTGAGCGCTTGAGCGCGTGCACGACGTCGAGCGCCGTCACCGTCTTCCTGGATATCATGGGCATCTGGGTGAGCATATTCCCCAGGAGAGTGAAGGGAGTAGTACTCACCGCTTGGCATACTCGGTGTACACGACGGAGTCGCGCACGACGTCCTCGAGGAAAATCTTGAGCGCGCCCCGCGTCTCTGGGTAAACAATTCCTGAGATGCGTTTCACGCCCCCGCGGCGCGCCATGCGTCGGATGGCGGGTTTGGTGACGCCTGTGCGGGAGGGATGCTCGAGCTCGAGAAAGAAACATTAATAACGGTGAACGCACCTTGGATGTTATCGCGGAGAATCTTGTGGCGGCGCTTTGCACCACCTTTCCCGAGTCCCTAACAGCCATCTGATAGTCAGTAAACCCTTATTCCACCGGCAAGGGGGCATGTTCAACATACCTTGCCGCCTTTACCGCGTCCGGACATGTTAAGTGTGTGCTTGGTGTTGTGAGAGGTTGGTTATGGAAAACTAGTCCTCGGTTCGCGAGGGAAGATGGTGGTTTGAGTTCAAGAGAGGATCAGGCGGCGAAACGACTTTTATTCCCGGCGCTGTTGACGGTTATTGACCGCACTGTGCCGAGATGCCGATAACACCGAGTCACTGAATAAATATTAACGGGCTGGAAGCACAGCGAAGTTGGGTGGCGAAGACCCTTTGAAGCCAAGCAGGGTCAGCCTTCGAGAGAGTTCTCAATGAGTGTTCTCGAGAATGCATGACCCAAAAGATTTTGCGCAGAACCGTACATATCGCCCAATGAAATTCGCCCTCTAGTGGTTTCGCTTGCAGCGCTCGAGAATATGGGCTTTGGAAGAAATGCAGGCCTTGCAAAACCGTCGGGGCGGATCGAGGAATGAACAAATTAGCTTGAACGTCAAAGCGAGAGCCTGAGGGTTGGTTGAGAACAGGCCGCCGTTGCGCACCTTCGTTGAACTAAGCTGCCTGGCCGAAATAAACACAGAGCTCAAGGCACACGGTACAAACTAGTGAATCGGCGTCATAGCCAGCCCCGGCTGGCCCCGCTCATTACCCTGGGGTGCGTCCTCGACAGTCCCATGAAACTCTCTTCAAAATGTTTGGCTCAAGGGTTGACGACCATCCGAAACTGAAGGTAATCGTTGGACAAGTACACGGGATTCATAACAGAATGGTACAACAACTCCATAGCGACGGGAGGAGTACGCTCCACCGACGGCAATGCTGGGTCGGTGCGCGGGAACCAGCCTCGCCGTCCAGGATCACTGTGCCGGAAGTACATTCACGCCCCCAGTCCGTATAACGTGAGGCTCCTCGAGCGCTTGAGCGCGTGCGCAATGTCCGACGCAGTGAGGGTCTTCCTGTTATGCGTCATATGAGCATACGGCGCGGGAGTATGAGCGGGAGTTGCAATAAGTACTCACCGATAATCGTGCCCATTGTAGATGATGGAGTCCCGCACGAGGCCTTCGAGGAAGATCTTGAGCGCACCGCGTGTTTCTTCGTACATGATATTCGAAATGCGTTTCACGCCCCCGCGGCGGGCCATACGCCGGACGGCGGGTTTGGTTACACCTTGAGGAAGGATAAGTAGGTGCTTAGTTAGTTTTCCCAATGGTCTGCTGCAGCCACACCTTCAATGACAGGCATATGCACCGGGCACCGGCAGCGGCGCTTCGGTCCGCCCATATGGCCCTAGTCGCCGTTGCATAGTCAGGACTCAAGATGACCCTCGCTCCAATAAACACCCCAGGTTCAGGTTCAACGTACCTGTCGGGGTTTAGCGGTACCACGTCCTGACATGTTATGTGCTTGACGCTGGAAGCGATAGATGAAGAAATAATGCTCGGTTTGGGAGGGAAGATGGTGGTTGGAGTCCAAGAGTGAGATCACGCGGCAAGGAAAGCATGGACAAATGTCTGACGGTTGCGTGTGTTGCCGAGGTGCCGGATGGCGAGGTCCTTTCAAATGTTAGCACGCGTTGAGAAACCGGGGACCCAGTCGCCCGTGCATTCTGAAACGACCGGAATGTTCTGCAGCCCGGCCACATGCCTCCACCTTCACCAACCGACGGAGTTCTTACTAGTAGTAGTTATTCCACGAATCACCAGGACGCTGAAACGATTGTGGTCCACGGCGTGTAGCGGCATTCACCATTAAGTCACCCCCTCCACAGCTGCGATTTGGCCCTCCTGCAGATTAACACAGCCCAGCTTCGGCTCTGTGGTCCAACGGAACGACATCAGTGGACACTGGAAACTGTTCCAAGCTGAAGATAGCGGGTTCGACTCCCGCCAGGGCAAGCGATCTCTTTTTGAATTCGCAAATGCCAGGCACCATGTCTGAAGTGAGTCGAATTGAGTTTTTGAAAGGAGTCAGGTTGAACAGCTGGCGGTGATCTGCTTGGCTGTGTTTGGCTGGGGCGTTAACAGAGAAGGTGACTTAGGGTTAGGGTTGGCATCAGCTTTCTCCTGACTATTCCGACCAAAATGTGCTCTCGGCCTCTTGGTATCGGGTAGATTTCCAGTCCTCGTCCCGATACCTGAAATGATTCGACAGCCACTCCGCCTCAGGACACCCAAGCTGCAGTTTCTGCAACGGCGACACGTTTGTCGATTTGCCCGCAATGCTTGAAATGCTTGTCTGGCTCGTTCTCCGGTCGAAAATTTGGACCCCCAAGTTATCCGCATTGAACGTTCACTTTCCGCGCCGTGCGACGACCGAGCGTTTGTCCAGAAGACAGTCGATTCCTAGACATACCCCGTCATTTGATTTCGGATATCCACCTCGGAAGCCCTGGTGGAAGCGCATCCAAGATCACATAACCATGAACGGCGTGCTCGGCGCTTTCGTCGCCTACAACTGTCGAAGCGCTTTCTCGGATCGACGCCGAGGGTGCGTGTTCTCTGGTGAGAGGTTATGTAAACAGGAATTTCCCTTGGTCTCCTCCAGCGCTGACGGGCCGCCATCCCCGTGGGCATTGCGCCCGTAATTGTCGTGTGTCCAATCTATTCTGTGGGTCCTTTCTTGTCCGCAAAAAAGAAGAAGCTGATGACGTCCTGCAGGACCAGTATCCCTCGACCGCTCCAGGAAAGTTCCTAATCCCAACTCAGGCCATCTATATTTTTTCATTTCAGCGTTTCCTCTCGCCGCGTATACACGTAGAAACTCCGTCGCTGCCCGTCTGCTTCTATTTAGTCCGCAAACCCATCGCTTTGTCGCTAAATCAACGTCCTACACTTTTTTCGCTCCTGCTTCCGATTCGATCAGGTTGACATGAACCCCGTCATGGGTCCTCGATGGGCGCTATTGATTATAATTGAATTGCCTCATGGGTGCGTGTCTCGCGCTCGGGATTGCCCTATAACCACCGCACTCTCTTACTCCACCAGCGTCTACGAAGCCAGCGCGGTGAGCGGACTCCAATTGTGGAGTCAGTGAGAACGTACTTTCAATTCCAACCCTCGAAAAAACAAGTCTCCTCACTGTTCGCGATCGTGTCGATGATCGTGGCTCCGTACCTCCCGGAAATTTAAACCAACTATTTTCGCGATCCTCATGACGGTTGTTATCTAGGAACCCCGCAGCCTTTTTGACATGGGCATGCACGGAAATGAACTTCGAAAGGCTATATCGCAAACAAGACTCACGTCGCTCAATTATAGGATACCCTATCGGCTTCACGTTCCTTCGCGGGTCCGCCTTTGTCATTAGGTAAATCAGCGAGTGTTGCTCATACGACGCCCATACTTGCAGATCCATCGTAAATATCATGCTGGGATAACGTCAACACACGGTCAACTTTGGAGAACATACTGTTTTTGCGCTACTCTCCGATCTCTGGGACCACGCTGTAAGGACCGCCTGCGGAACGTTCACGAACGTTCACCATCACCAACATCTGGTCTTCCGGTGCTACTGCCTTTGCGTTGCAAGCGTTGCCCTCCGTCCGTCCTTGGGTTTGCGCGTGGCTGAAATAACGTCAACACACAGTCAACTTTGGACATATTTTTTTGTACTACGACTCTCCGATCTCACTCGGACCGCGCCGCGTGCACGACATTGGGAACGCTCACGAACGTTCACGCATGTTGTTTTCATTGCGCGATGAAAGTCTGACACTCAGTCCGTCCTCAGATTTGCTCCTGCCCGACTCCCGCGCTATCTGGTCAGCAAGGCTCGGATATTTCGATACTCTCGCGATCGCAAGTCGCTGTCAGTCGCCCACTCTTCAATGCCCACCGGCGCTGAGTTCAGATTGTGGAACGCTACCTTAGCGAAGCTCGGGCATGATGCGCCATCACAACGTGGAGGCAGATCAATGATGCGCTGAGCGGCGGGCAGAAACTCGATAAAGAACGCGCAGCGTTAGAGACTATTCAACGATACAAATTTTGTGGTATAAAAAACGCCCATGGGTATGCATACTTTTTGCGGTAACTCTCTCAATCCTGACGGAACGCCTTCAAGGAATCCCGCCATCCCCAAACCGGGAACGTCTCCGGATCCGTGATCCACTTCTGCATCACCCTCGAGCCCGCAGGGTCCATGGGGCGACAATCCCTTGCGCGCCACGTCCACGCGCGGAACTGCTCCACGTCCCGCAGCGCCCCGTACCCCATCGCAATCGCGTCGAGGTGCTTCCCGTACTCGAGCACCTCGAGCCCCTCCGCCTCGATCAGCGCGACCGCGCGCATGTGCGCCTCGATCAGCGCGTAGTCTCCCATGCTCGCGTCGACGCACCACTGCTCGAACGAGGGGAGGTGGTGCTGGTTGTCGGGGGTCCAGAAGGCGCGCAGCTCGGAGCGCACGGCGTCGCTGTAGGAGGTGACGGCTTCTGGGCGCGCGCAGAATTCGCACCGGCAGGAGAAGTTGTACATGGATTTGAGCTGGGCGCGGCGTTCGGCGCGGCTGTAGGTTGGGGTGATGTAGGCGACGGTGATTTCTTGCCCGGCGTGAATGGGTCGGAGCGCGACGAGCGAGAGGGAAAAGGACGCGGCGTCCCATTGCCATTTTGCGTTGGGCCCGCAACTGTAGAATATCGCCTGAGGTTTGTTATGTAAATGGAAAGAGAGGACGCACCTATGATTACATCGACTGATGTTGAGGAATATCCCGCGGTGCGTCGCGAGCTCGGGATGGGGCACATCGGGTACGTCCAGCGTTATAGCGATGGCATTCGTGCGCACAATGCCCTCCACGAGGTCGCACTCCGACTCGGGCTTGCAATTTGCAAGCGACATGAAACGTGCCACCGTCTCCGGCGACAGGCGGCGGAGGAGGGCAGCGTAGAGCGCGGACTCGGGGTGCGTCTCCAGCGCGATCAAGTACGGCGCGACGAGTATCGGCCGCTCAACGACGACGATCCCGCCTGCGGGAATATTTTGCGCCGCGAACATGCCGAGGCCACTCTTCCCGTCGCTTGGGCGGATAGTGAATGCCACGCCCTTTGGTGACGTGACGGGAGGTGAGGGCATGGGGGTGGGAAGGAGGCCCTTAACCCCGACGTCGAGGAGGGTGGCGGTCTCGTCGGTGGCATTGGCGTAGACAGGGTTGTGTAGACAATATGCGCGGTGGCATGTGTGGCCAGCGAGATCGAAGTACGGGGAGTCGAGCAGGACATTCGAGCGGATGTCGGCGTTCAGTTGGCAGCAGAGTTGTAATGGCGGCAGCGAAGTGGCGCGTCGCAGCAGCAAGGTGGATGGAGGAGGAGTCTGTTTCGATGAGGAAGGGAAAGCCTGGTCCGACTGGCGGGGGGTTGCAATAGGCATGATGGTACGAAGTGGTGAACGAGAGTGGTGGTGGTGGGGGTTTAAAAAGAGTCGAGCGTGCGCAGTAAGCTGGCCACCACGATACAGATGTGGCCACCCAGACCCTCAAAGAAGAAACAGAAAAGGAAAGTGACAAAGCGGAGCGGCCCACATTGTTGAAAGTTGAACATGAGGCGGCCCCGCTTTGTCCGCCGATAACGGCACCTGGATTGTTAGGGTGCAAATGACGTTCGCGTACAGCAGGACGTTTACCATAAATGAACCGTGTCCCAGCCTCGAACCGAAAAGTACGGTCCGAAAACTCGTGGCCGATGTGTGTTGAATTGTAAGATGAAGTTATGATGGCGGTAATTGCCCACGCCAAAAATATGGACCGAAGTCGAAGGAGTTCTTTTTCCGTACCAGCGGTGATTAACACGCCAGAGTGGCCACGGTGGTGGTCTGGGTGTGCCAGCAGGCGCCAGCGTACTGACAATCCTGCGAGAGCCAGGTGATAGCCGGCGAAATTCGGCCCATAAACGTGGAATCAAGGGCGCGATTCTCAACCGAAGCCCTCGCCATTCGCGAAGCCTTGCGCGACCCCGACGCCCCAGAGATGTCCGCGGCAGCATCAGGAAGGGTCTCACATATTTCCAACTCGGGTAATTGTTACGACGGATCGCCCTGAAACGGGGATGTAAGATCGACAGTCGACTCGCCGTCGGGAGTCGGAGAAGTTCACATACGTCTTCCATACCGCAAGTTCCTCTCTACCGCGCCCTCCAGAGCAGCCCATATCCCTCGTTCGGCCTCGGAATTCGCTCGCCGGATCTGGAACGGCTCGTGGTGTCGGAAGAACACGGCGCGAGGCTCATATCGCAACCGGTCCATCATCGAGGCGATGGTCGGCGCGTCTGCCGGCTGATCGACGCGCAGCGCACAGACACGCACACGAACACATGTCCGGAGGATGGCGCCGACCGCCTCGCAGACGCGCTCCATCTCCTCCGCCTCCAAAACGCGCAATCCAAACGTAAAATCGAGGGATATGTGCGTGAGGGTGGGGAGGACAAAGTTCGGCCAGACGGTCCATTCTTCCCAGATGTTCACGACCGTGAGATGCGTTATCTGGCTGAAAAAGGGAAGTTCGAAGTGGGGATCGGGGGAATGGAGGACGCCATGCCAGGCGGCGAGTTTCTTTGGCCGTAACGAGAACAGGAAATAGGCGAGCGGGTGGGTGATTGGACCCGAGCGAGGCGCGGGGAGGAACCACGTCGTGAGGTTCTGGATTCCATGGCAGATGGCGGTCACCCGCACCAGTTGGTCCCAAGGCATGTCGTAGAGAATGCAGAGTGATTTAACATGTGTGCCGAAGAAGGCGCTTGATTTGGTGCTGGAAGTTAGGAGCGTGCGTAGGAATTTGTTGCTCGTCCGCTGCCGGGGGAGCTGCACGCTCTCGTACAGCACAATTCCGATCCTGTAGGAAAATTCGATGAACGTGCGCGGGAGATACCTGGCCGAGTCTATTACTCACCAGCTTTCGACGCGGCGCG